ACTCACAAAATCACTGCAGGAGCAGGAAGGGTAAATGCCATCTGTGCTAACTTGAGAAAGAAGGGAACCCAAGAAACTATCCCAAAGGATCAAAATGTTGCTGAGGAGGTGGCTGAAAAGGTAGAGCAGATCCATGTGCAATCTGGAAATGGTGCTTGTATGCACTATGTGGCAACCAGGAAAAAGGCAGGCTCAGATGGGGAGCACAAGCGGAAGCCCTGCACAATGGAGCCAAATTCTAAAGTGATGCTGTGCCTCCTTCCGCCATCTTACTCAAAGATTCAAAACCAGTGCCTGACCCATAAAAAATATAGGACACAGCGTTCTCCCTCCACCAACCTCTGACTAGAAGTGTTGCAGCCAGTGTTCCTGAGTTAACCCCTTAAGAGACTTAATAAGCAAGTACAGCATACCTAGGCTCCAGTCTCCTGAAGGCAGCTACATAAGCTGCCTCAATATCCTTGTGTCCCTTATGGTACAATTAGGACAATTAGTTGTCTACCAAAGTGGTTTATATATATAAAGAAACCTACCATGAGGAAAAAAAAAAACTGAGGCTGCCACTGTTCCTAAAAATGCTAGTGGCCTGGCTATCATGCTGATTTTCTGCATTCATACTTTGATCTTAAACACTTGTGCAGATAAAAGCTATTGCATTTTAACTAACTTTCCTGATATAAAATATGTTCTGGGTCAAAGACTCAAAGTACTGAAGCATGTGAGCGAGGCTACTTGGATCTTCATATGGAGGGTCATACTTCTCTTAATACAGGTTTACTTTATTATTCTGAAATAGCAGTTGCTCAACATTTTCTACAGACTTGTTCATTTATCAAAGTTTATAACCAACTTTGCTTGCAGATGGTAAAATTTTCTAGATATTGGATGCCCAAAAGCATGGGAAGATGGTTAGAATATCCAAATACCAACCAGCTTTCAGTCACATAAACATGCATGCCTATTTTGATCAAGTGTGCATGTTTATGATATGTAGATAATCTTGGCAACCAGCAATTAAATAGTAATTGCTCAGGAAAATACAACCCAGGCAGATTTTTTGCTTTTTCTTTTGTAAGAAGCTTGTGAACAAAATATATATGTTATATTGTAACCAAAATTGTAAATACTATACAGAAAAGAAACCGATCCATGCACAGGGATATGTAGTTTTTACAATTTTGCACATTTAATTGCGTACAGAAAAAATATCAG